AGAGAGAGAGAGAGAGAGAGAGAGAGAGAGAGAGAGAGAGAATGTGAGAGAGAGATACAGGGGGGGTTGTTTAAGGGCTATTAGTTCACAGCTTCTGTGAGAATGTCAGGAGGGAGAGCATCAGGGGAAGGGGTCATGTGACAAAGGGTCGCATCAAGGGGAAAGCGGGAGGGACAGGGGCTTCGGAGGGGGGGGGGGGGGTGATGCGGCTGAAGAAAGGGGGGGGGGGAGGATATACGTCGGGGGAGGAAGGGGTGTAGGGGTATATGAGAGGAGACTGGAGGACGGTTGAAGTGTAGGTATGTTATCTTGGGGGAGGCCTGAGAAACAAAGGCTTTCTCTTGGTGGGGAGAAGAGGGGACAGGTATTTGAGGGGCGGAGGGAGGGGCGGAGGGAGGTGGGGGGGTTGGTACAGGAGAGGACGTGGTAGGGGAAGGTGGGGTGGAACGATTAGCTTGTCATGTGCGAGGAGGAAGAGGAGTAGGTACCGGGGAAGTAGAGAGAGAGTGGAGTCTGGCATGGGGTGTCTGGATTTGACTGGATTTGACTGTCTCTTAAGTCAATCCTTGTCGTAGGCGATGGAACAATTCCGGTACAAGTATTGGGGGAGAGTTGAGGCTGAACAGGAATGGATTTGAAGTCAATTAGAGTTAATAATACTTTAGCATGGGATTCGGATGTGACTGATAAGGCGGGAACGACCGGCTGCGGAAGGAAACTTTACCGACTCGTTTTTTTTTGCTGGAAGAGGATTGTGTTGTCAGAATAAGGGGGCTGTAAAGGGAATCACGAAAAATCTATCCCATTTGGCTAAGGTAAACAGAATATTCAGAAGGTTTGTAGAGGCGGGGGTAGCAGAAAGACAGGGATGTGTGGAAGACGGAGTAGTGCCGAGAGAGGTAGCATTGTGTAGAGGGGGACAGTAAGGCTACAGAGTAAATAAGAAGTGATGAAAGGGTCGTAGAGGAAGAAAGTTGTGGGAATGGAGGAGGGGGTCGAAGAGGAAGAAAGTTGTGGGGTGGGGAGAGGAGGAAGAATATTTTCCGGAGGTTGAGATGTGGTCTGGGTAGATGATTTGACCTGGACTGAGGGGATAGTAGGTACCGAGGGGGTAGTGTTCCGTGGTCAAAAGGAGAGCCTGGGGTCGGGGAATCAGAAGTTTAAATATGTGGGGCTAGTTAATAAAGAGCCTCAGTAGGCCCTATGATGTATGACCTAAATAAGGGTGCTAAATCTTCATTCCTGGTCATGGGAAGCTCGGAGTAGGCTGGGAAGAGAAACAGTCCACTTCTCAGGGTCCCATTGAAGGGTAAGGACAAGACAACGAAACGTGGGGAATACCGAGCCCGTAGCTCCCCCAGGCCGTTCATGATTAGCACAGAGGCATTTCATCTTTTCAATGCGGCTCTCACACCTTAGGAAGTGGATAGTAGACGGGGTTGGCGAAGAGAAAGGAAGGGGAAAGGGACGAAGAGAAGACTATTTAAAATTAGTGGAATTGAGGACTGAGGCCCAAGGGGGGGGGTGATACCAGTCTCCATCTGCTTAGCCCCCAAGGCAACAGCGGCCATGGGATTGTGTGTGTGTGTGGGGGGGGGGCAGCAAGCACACGCAAACTCACTCAACTCACTCAAGACTGTTAAAAATAAAACGAACAAAATAAGATAAAACTTCTTTATTTATTATACTTACGGATTATGTTAAGGTACACAAACTTACTTTCTATCACAAACATACATCAATGATTGCTAAGTTCGGGGGATTATATTTTTTCTTCCCTTCTGAAATACGAAATAAAATGACATTTCCAAAAAGCGACGTCACGTCAATGTAACTGTTCCTGAAAGTGATCACGGCTGCAGATCCAAATAAAAAAAAATGTCACTCATGACTCATGAATAGACTGCATTTCCACACCTTAACGTTGGTTAAAAGTGAAAGAAATGAGTGAAGTCAGTTCAGCGTATAATTATGAGGCTGCAATCAATTATCATATTGCAAAATGGTCCCTTTGGTGATTCTGGATCTGCTCCTGTTGATACTGTGTTCATCAGAGATAAAGCTGCATTTTGTCTTCTCAAAATACGTAAAGCTAAGTATATACATGTCATTTTTTTTCTCGTGTTTTCTTTCGAATTCCATATTTTTTTTTCACTTGGATTGGTTGTGGTGTATGACGTCACCTTTACGAAATTATGGGTCTTTATGTGCTCATAAAACCGAAATAAAAATATAACAATGACAGAATTATATATTTACTTGATATATAAATGCATGTATCTATTGTGCTTTATAAAGTGAATTGGAGAAGTTTCACTCGACAATCATTCGTACATAATACAAACAAAAAAAAGTAACTAACTGTACATTTTTTTCTGAATTTGGAACCATCTAAAAAAAAAAAAAAAAGTTTGCTAAAAAATCCAAAAAAGGTGCCACTTTATGTATAGTATACGATCTAGCCTTAGATTTAACTGTACAAATGTTTTGCTGTCTGTCT